CGTCCCGGCTGGAGATCGCCGTCCCAGGCCCTCCTCCCTGGCTCCACTGTTCGGGACGGGGAACCCAGAGCCGCTCTGACGTCCGCTCCCGGCCAGACGGCTCCCTCCGGCCGGGGACCTCGGTCTCTTCCCCTCGAGGGGCCGCGGTCGTCTTCAGGCTGGACCATCCCACTTGTCCCCTTGTCCTTAGGACTCGGCTCGCCTTTGAGAGTCTCTGTTCACCATGGCCGCGGGGCTCAGCTGGTTGGAGCGTCGTCCCAGAATCCAAAGTGTCACAGGTTCGGCTCCCGGTCGGGGCGCAAGCCGGGCCTGCAGGCTTGGCCCCCGGTCGGGGCGCGGGCGAGAAGCCACTGGCGGCTGCTCCTGTCCCACATCCAGGTTTCTCCCCCTCCCCGTCCCCCTCCCTTCCCCTCTCCCCGGAGTCAGTGAGCGCGCCCTCGCGGGAGGAGTAAGGAGGGAAGACAGCAAGTGCTTCCTCTCTCTCCTTCCCAGGGGCCGAGTCCCCTGCCTGTGCCCTCAGGCCCACCCTGCCCGTCACACCCGTCCTGCGGGAGGTCCGCCCAGGGCACGTTCAAATGTTAGGGGTCGTCTGTGTGTGTTCTCAAGTTTCCAGATTGTTCTACCTTTTCCCTTCTTGCTGAGACTTCGCATCTTTTGTGTGTCATGTGTTCCTTTACCTGATGGAGCGTTGATACAATCGCGGCGTCGCAGCCCTCGTCCGAGAGAACCCCGTCGTCACCGTGGCCACCCCGGGGCCAGCGGGCAGGTCTGTGCTGCGCCCGGGACACTGTGGACTCTGGGTCCGCCGCGTTCCTCGGGCGGGTTTGGACGCTTCGCCTTAGCCCCGGCACGGCCCCGGCCGCCTTGGAGGGCCGGCCGCGCCGCAAGGTCTGCAGCAGCCCGGCTCGCATTCCGGGGTGGGCGCTCTGCGTGGGCCCCGTGCACGTGTGACAGTTCAGACGCCCCCCCGAGATTCCAGATGAGGGGGGCGCTGCACACAGAACACCCAACTCCTCCCCGCCCCAGACCCCCTCCTGCGGGACTGTCCCCTCCCGTCGGCGGCTGTGGCCGCCCGGGCTCTGCCCTCTGCCGTCTCGGGGCAGACCGACTGCCAGCGCTCACCAGGACGCGCACCTCGCCGCGTGCACGGCCCAGAGCTTCCCACTGTGCGCTCCCATCCCAAACCTGCCTGCCTTTTTCCTTTTTTTTGTTTTAACTCCCCGGCGCTCTCGGGGAACCGTGTGTGTTTGAGTTTAGGGGTGGCAGGGCGCCCTCTGACCTGACTCTATGGTTGTCGCCTGCAGAAAAGTTAGGCCTGTGAGCTCACTTGACCTTGGAGTAATTTTAGGCAACCTCAAGTTTTATACCCCGTCCGACCACCGCTGGAGTGTGAGATAAAGCCATGTTCAAGTAGACAATGTCTGAGAAAGGACAAAGAAACGATCTCCCAAACTCCTTTTATTAAGAGAAGCTGCTAGAGAAAGTCTTTTGCCAAAAATGAGGTTTTTTGGAAAATAAATGCAGGGAGTGGAGGACTGAGGAGAGCCAGCCCGCAGGAAGGGTCGGAGGGATGGGGGGGGCGCGAGACAGCGAGGGGGCGGGGTCGAGGGACGGCTGAGCCACACTCTCCAGGGCGGTCGGTGTCTTCAGTAGTGGTGTCTTCAAGGAGACAAACAACAAAATGTTCGGTGTGTTTAAAGACTCCGAAAAGAGGTTTGCATCACTAGGACGTGTGTGGATTTCCGTCGGTTAAGTATATCGAAAATTAAGCCAACAAACGAACAACAGGAAGTTACTCCGCTCCGGGGAAACCAGGATGCAGAAGAAAAGGCAGGGTGATCGTGGTCCATGCCGTTTCGGGGACCCGTGAGCGGGCATTCTGACGCAGTCGTGACGCAAATCCTGAACCCGATCTCGTTAAAATTACCATGTGGCTACAACCGGCAGGCAAAAGCTATGGGGAGGGGGGTGGCAGGGGGGAGACGATGAAAGAAAAAAGCTAACTTAGTGGCTCTCGACTGCGGGTGACTGACCCCCCAGAGGGCACCTCGAAATACCTGAAACCACTCATGGCTGTCGGGTTTGGGGGGAAGGGGACGAGGCCGGCGTGCAGGGCAGAGCCCAGGCCTGCTGCTAAGCACCCTGCGAGTGCGTCCACAGCGAAGAGTTAATTGTCTAAACCGCCGTAACGCCACCGGTGGGAAACCGGAGCTAAGTGGCTTTCCGGCGTGGGGGCGCCAGCAGCCACACCTAGAAGACGGAGACCAGCAGCTGCAGCGTGAGTGAGTCTGGAGAGGCCGAGGCGGGTTCGGAAGGACGGGGCCGGGGCCTTGGGAGGGGCAGGGGGTGGTCTTCTTGGTGTCGGTGGGAGCTCACTTTGCGGAACTCGGCCCCTCGCACACGCGCAAGTTTGGTGTTGTAAGCGAGGAGTTAAGCGGAGGAGGAGAATCACCTGGGAAGCTGTGGCGCGTGCGGGGAAGGCCTGCCTTTCCGCTCTGCACGGAAGCTCCCTGAGCCGGGTGGCCGCCGGCCAGGGTTCCTGCCCTCTCCCGGACGCGGCCCGTCTCCGCTCCCCAGCCCTACCCACGTGCACGCAGGGACGGTGCGTGGGGTGCAGGACGGGCGCCCTCACAGCTGACGGGACCTGTGAGCGGTCTCTCTCTGCTGCAAGGCTGGAGCCCCGGCAGCCTCCGTACTTGACGGCCCCCCCTTCCACAGACTCGGGTTGGGGGGGGGAGATCGAGGCCCACGCCCTCCCGGCGGCGGTGTGCCGGCATCGCAGGTCCAGGTTTCCCGAGGGACGCCGGACGCCTGAGCGCGTCTCAGGAACCAGCGAGCATTGCGTCTCGTCAGCCTCCGGCGTCAGGCGCCGCACAAGCGACCTCGAGCCTCTGTTTTAGGGGCGGCACCTGGCCGCTGGGCCCCGAGCCCCGTCTGCAGGCCGAATCCTGGGTCAGGCCTGGGAAATCCAGAGCACGGCGGCCGTCCCCACCACTGGAGGAAGGGGACGCTGAGTGCGCCCTTCCCGGCTCGTCCCGTCTGGGTCCCGTCTGTCCCAAGTGGCCGTGTCAGCTGCGCCTCTGCATGGCCATCGTGGGAGGGTGTTGACAGACGCCCTGCACACGTCGGGGGGTATCTCTGCCCACCCCGTCCTGGCAGAGTGCTCGCCTGCGCCCGGGGAATGGGCCCACAACACCCCACGCAGCCCGCCGCAGCTCTGCGTGGGGCATGTCTTGCTCTGGGGGAAGGACTCTGCCCCAAGCTCATTTACGCTGCAAAGCAGGGTGCGAGTTACAGACAGGTGCGGCTGAGGGGTGAGGGAGGGGGGCGTGGGGCCCGGGGCAGTGCAGGCTCTGTGGCGGGCCGCTGTCCCCTCCGAGGGCTGCTGCCCAGAGAAGGGGGGCTGCAGGGGGCGGGGCCCCCTGCTGTGCGTGTGCGTGTGCAAGTGCGTCCGGCCGGGAGGAGCCTCGGGGACTCAGCCGGCTGCAGGTGGAGGAAGGCTCGGGCGTGGACCCGGTCCTGCAGGGCACCCCTCTTCCCACACCGGGGCTCCCCAGGCCCTCAGGAGAAGGGAGGCAGGGTTAGAGCCCAGAGACCTCAGGGACACCAGAATCCGGTGGCAGGAATGGGACCACCTAAAAGCCAGTGTCTACTTGGGGAGCGCAGTGGCCGCATTCCCGTGCCCAGTGAGGGCCCCTGCCTGTCCTGTGGTCCCTCGCCCCTCCCAGGGAGCTGTGACTCCATCCCGACCTCTCCCCCCCTCGGCCCCACTGCCCAGCGTCCAGCGCAGGGACGCTGCCCTGTCTGCTCTGCCCCCGACCCCTGGGTCCCCCGCTGCGCACCAGTCTCTGCCTGGAACAGACCCGTCCACCTGCGTGCCGCCGTCCACCATCGTCCACCACCGTCCACCACCGTCAGTGTGGGCGGCTGGCCACCTAGCACTAGTCACGGGGGGCCGGGGGGCCGTGTGTGAGGTTCGAGACAGCTCCCAAGCCCTATCCACCTTCACCCGCGGCTGCGCTGCACTGGCGAAGCTTCCGGGGGACTTGCGGCAGGAGAAGAATCACGGCAAAGCGGGGACGGGCCATCGCAGGGGCTGGCAGGGCTGCCACTGCGTCATGTTTGTTCCCTACCCTGCGCCACACTGTCCCCCACCCTGGGAGCTTCGGGGACTCGGGTGCCGGAGCCCACCTGGAGGAGGGGGAGGGGCCAGTCCGGCACCCGTGACCAGGAGAAGGTGCAGCTGGGGGTCCCCGAGCCCGTCCGACCTCACCGCCCAGGTGTATGACCACTGCGGTTCAAGTCCGGCTGCCTGCCTGCTGGGCGCCGCCCCTCAGGTCCGGTTCTGCTCCCGCGCCAGGCCTGCTCGCCGTGGCGGGGATCCAGGGAAGCAACTAACTCCGAAAGGGGCCGAGGCCAGCCAGCCCCGCTGTGGCCGACTTTGGGGGAGGCAGCGTGGGGTCCCCGAGATGCCGGAGCAGGGCCCGTGAGCAGGCTGGGGGGCCCATGCTGCTTGGTGAGTGGCCAGCGCAGCTTCATGGGGGCAGAGGAGGAAGGTGGCCGAGGGAGTGGCCATGCCATGTGACGCGTGTTCCCCGAGCACACGCAAAGCAAGGACGTGTCCATCTCCTCTGAACCACGGCAACGCACAGCGAGGCCAACGGCTCCACAGCTCACGCTGGCGGCGGGAACCGCTCTGGACCTGCCGGGTCAGGGGGCTGGGGGTGGGGGGAGGGGCCTGCGCACACGCATCAGGAAGAACCCCCGCCAGCGTGGGCTCCGGGGCGGTGCGGGGCCACGAGAAGCCGGCCCTCGCAGCTCCCCAGCCACCCAGCCCTGGGGGCGCTGCCAGCCCCGGCGCCTTCCCGGGGTCCCCAGAGCGCTTGTGGTTCCCAAACCACCACGCAGGCTCAGGGCGTCCGCCTGCCTTTGCCCCTGTGGGCGAGGCCCTGGCCCTGCCCTGAGGTTCCCCCCTCACGGCTGCCCTCTCCTGCCCGCAGGTGAACAGCGAGAACGTGGTGAAGGTCGGTCACCGGCAGGTGGTGGCCATGATCCGCCAGGGCGGGAACCACCTGGTCCTCAAGGTGGTCACGGTGACCAGGAGTCTCGACCCCGACGACACCGCCAGGAAGAAAGGTGGGTGCCCCTCAGCGCCCTGTCCCCGCGCTCCTCCACCCCTGGGAGGGGTGGGCCCTGTTGGGTGATCCCCATCTCCTCCCTGGGCGGCCCAGGCCCCCCACAAGGTCAGGCAAAGAAGCGGAGGGAGCTTAGGAGATGACCCCGGAGCCCAACCCGGGGGCAGAAGTGGCCTAGGGCAAGGGCTGTACTCGGCAGATGGGGTTCAGGGGCCCCGCCATGGGCAGAGCCTGCTGGCCCCCCACAGGGATGCAGGGTCACCCTCCTTCCCGAGGGAGGCCACCGCTGGGGGTCACCGGGGCGGAGTGCAGCCTGCAGAGAGGAGCCAAAGGCAGGACGGATGCACCCCCAGGTCCCCTTGGCAGGGAAGGAGCTGGGAGGGCACACTGGGTCCTTCCAGCCTCCCTGCGTTTCCCAAGAGCAGGGTGCACCCCTCCCACCCCCCCACACCCCCCCACTGAGCACCCCCAGCCAGGACTCTAGTGAGAACAGGCAGCAAGTGGCGGGGGCGCTGCCTGGAGGAGGCAGCGGTGAATGGCCAGGGAGCTTGCAGCCTGAGGTGACCGGGGAGGAGGCTGGGAGGGGGCGGGGCACACACCCGGGCCCCTGTCTGCACCTCTGCGGTCCCAGCCGGGCCCACACAGACGGGGGGGCAGGGCCGGTGCAGAGGGCCGGTGCCCGTGCATCCGTGCTCCCCGCGTGGTCCCGACCCTTGGAGGCGCAGGTGAAGCCGCAGAGGCCCCCAGCCCCGAGACTCCCCAAGAGCAGGGCGACTTCCCTAGCCTGGGAGGCGGCAGCGGAGTGGCCCTCACTCAGCCTTAACGACAGAAAATCGAAGGCTCCAGGCAGCCTGCCTCCTGGGTGGTTCCAGAAGGGGGGGCGACTGGGGCGACCAGGGTGGGTCTCAGGCCTGCTCGCTCTCCCGTCTGCCCCTCCAGCGCCCCCGCCTCCCAAGCGCGCACCGACCACGGCCCTCACGCTGCGCTCCAAGTCCATGACCTCGGAGCTGGAGGAGCTCGGTGAGTCTCAGCCGCTTGCCCGCCCCGGCATGCGCCTGCGGAAGCCTCCGCGAAGCCCCCGCCCGTGCATGGCCCTGGGCTTGCTGGCTGGCCCCTCCCAGGCTCCTGCGCTTCGGGTGGGGTTGCTGGTTCTGCCCCTTCCTCCTCTTGGCTCGTCTAACACTGCTCTGTTTTGACTTTCCGGGCCTCTCACTAGTGGACAAAGGTAAGCTGCCCCACGGCGTCCCCAGAACAGCTCCCCTGCGGGCCCGGAGGCCCCCGCGTGGTGGCTCAGACCAGCGAGCTCCGCCCTGGGGTCTGACGCAGGCGGCGGTGGGCGTGGCCGCGCCCAGGCGGCGGTGGGCGTGGCCGCGCGTGTGGGCTGCCCCCAGGGTGAGGGCACTGCTGGCACCCTCGCCCTCCGGGAAGGTCTGCGAGGAGCAGAGAGGGGCTCCCGCCCTCAGACCCATCGCACAGGCCAGCAGGGTGCACAGGGCAGCGTGTCCCTGGGTCCGGTGGGCCACAGTGGCCGCCGAAAGTGGGTGGTCCTGGAGCCGGCGGCAGGAGTCCCCAGACTCTGGTTAGGAGCCACCACACAGCCCAGGGGCGCCCCCGCGGGGCGGAGAGGGCAGGCTGAGATCTTGGCGTGGACAGGCCAGTTGGGCGGGGGGCAGAGGGGCGCCTGCGAGGACAAAAGCGAGCCCTGTGCCCAGCCCTCCCCAACCCCCGCAAGCCCAGCTGGATGGCGACTTCAACCAGCCACCACGCCCACCTGGCCGCAGCCTTGGTGGGACAACGCTGGTTCCTCTTCCCCAGCCCCACCCCCACCCCAGAACGCAGGGGTGGTTCCTCCTGGCAGCTCCACGGGGAGGGACCTCCCTCACTCCTTCCAAAGGGGGTGGGCACACACCGTCCTCCCGGGCCCAGGCTGCACGCCCCCACCAGTGCCCCTCACGGCCACCATGTTCCCAGTCTTCCAGGAAGGAGTGCCTCTGCTGGGTGCCACCCTCACCCAGGACCAGCGGTTCCTTCTCCTTCCGGCCTGTCCTGGGCCCCACCTTCACCCACTCGAGACTCGCCGGGGTTTCCCCCCGGGGCAGTGCCTGGTGGGTCTGACGTGCAGGATTCCCTGCCCCTCCTAAAGGAGGCGGCCTGCGCCCCGCCAGTTCCTGAGGGCCGGCGGCGGGCGTGCCCCAAGAGGGACCGCAGGCAGGCAGCCCACCTTCAAAGGGTCTGAGGCGGGGTCTGCTGAGACCACCGGGCGCTGCGCGGTCCCCGGAGCCCTCGGCCGCCCTGGGCTGTCTCCCCGTGCAGGGCCTCAGGTGCCCTGAGTAGTCGACAATCGCCCTCAGCTTGTACTTGCCCTGGGGGAGCTCGGCATCCCCGGGGGGCGGAGGGGGGGGGTGCCAGGAGGGGTGTCGCTCAGCAGGGAGGAAAGCCAGGGGCCCAGGGGTACCGGCGGGGCCAGGGGGCAGGTTCCTGGAGGGGTGCTCTCCAGACCCCCAGCCTGCCCACGTCCGGGCCCCTGAGCTGCCGGCCGGCAGGGCGGGCAGGGTGGGTCGGACCCTGGGGCCCCGGGTGAGCACGCCGCCGCCGGGGGACTCACGCTCCCTTTCTGTTCGCAAGCCTCCGTCCGGAAGAAGAAGGGTAAGGGGACGGCCACCGTCTGTCTGCAGCCCCTGCCCGCACGCCCCGCGGGAGGCAGCCCCCTGTGGCCGTCGGCGTGGCGTCTCGAGTGTGTGGTGGCTCGTCGTGTCTCTCCCTGTGCTGGCCCCTGCAGGGGTCCAGCCCCGGGACACGTCCCCCCTCAGTCTGTGCCGTCTGCTTCGCTTGTCCCGTCTGTGGCCCCATCGTGGTCTGCACCCCCCCACCCGAGCTGTGTCTGCATCGTCATGGCTGAGGCGGCTGAGGCCTGGGGCCCCTCGCTCGGCTGCCAGGGCTGGGCCCACCCCTCCGGTCAGGGTGCAGGCGCGCGGAGCCCCGGTCCGTAGGTGGAGGGCTGGACTGGACCGCTGGGCCCCTTTGCCGTGGGTGGGCGGCCTCCCTCCGACTCCCAGAAGGCCCCTCGCCCGTCGCCAGGCCTGCTCTGCGCCTGCAGAGGGAGGGACCGCCCTGGAGCTGGGGCGCAGGTCGGGTGGGGGCGCTGTAAGGCTGAGCTTCTCCCGGTCCCTCCCCAGGGCTGGCGTGGGTGGGAGGACATGAGCCCCACGTGCACCCCGACAGCAGGGGGGATCCCACCCCCCCCCACCGTGGGCACGGGCCCCGAGGCACAGGGAAACCAGGGGAGGTGGGTCTCGGGCCCTGCAAGGCAGCCCCTGGGGGCAGGCGTGCGGGTCCCGTACCGCCAAGGTGGGAGCGCCTCTCCCCCCTGCCAGCTGCCTCGAGGTGCCGGCCAATCCCAGCAGTCTTTCCAGGGGCTTCCCTGGGCCTCCGACCCCCAGGGGCTGCCTGGGAACCTCCCGGTAGGCTTCCCGGGACTGGCCAGTGTGCACCAGGCGGTGGAAGCCCAGGGCCCAGAAAGCTCCCTGGGCCTGACGTCTCCCTGAAGGCCCCTCCGCCCAGCACCCCGTGCTGAAGGCGCCCCACCACGGGGTCCCAGGAACCTGTCACTGCACAGAACTGACCCAGAAAGCCTGTCGTCAGACTTCAGTGGGAGCCTGTGGCCTGCCCCCCGGGCACACCAGCTCACCCTCCAGCCTGCGCCCCCAGGGACCCCTCTGCAACCAGACACCCAAACTTTGCCAGATGAGGACAGAGGTCACAGCCTGCAGGGCCCAAGTGGGCATGGGGCAGAATCCACAGGGGACAGGCAGTGCTGAGGGTGGACACCCGCCTTCCTCTGAATGGCAAGGAAAACTGGGTGCGGGTTTGCTATCAAATGCCCCCCTCCCCGGATCCCCTGACCCTATCTGGACCTGGAGGCGAGTTCATGGGCAAGAAGACGCCAAGGGGCCCACCAGTGTGGACCCCCCAGCTCCACTGGGGACACGTGCCCGGCCCTCACGCTGCCTGCCCACCCCCCGGAGGGTGGGCCTACCCCCAAGAGGCCTCGTCACACCCCAGGAAGGCCGTGGGGAGGAGGCGAGAAGCAGGCCTCTACGGGTGTTCTGGTTTGACAGTGTCCCCAAATCCATGTCCCCCTAGAATGGTGCAAGGGACACTACTTGCAAACGGGACTTTCCAGACTGGGCCCTGGACAGTGGCGATTGGCCTTACACGAAAGAGACAGAGGGATGGACAGTCGCACAGAGGAGGGACACAGGCCACAGGAAGACGGAGGCACAGGCTGGGGGACACGGCCACAGTCCAGGCTCGCCCGTAGCCCCCAAAGCTGGGAGGGGCCGGAGGACCCTCCCCAGGAGCCTCGGAAGGAGCCCACCTCCTGGCGGCCGGTTTCGGCGGCCGGCCCCAGGCTGTGTGAGGAGGAGCAGGCGCGGCCGTGGGCCGGCTGGTGAGCGACGCTCTGTCTCCATGGTCCTGGGGAGCCGAGGCAGCAGCGCCACAGCCTGCTCGGTCAGCCGGCAAGTGACCAGGACCCCTGAGGTTGCATCTCCTGGTCTCTCCAACCCCTTGTTTCGACCTCCAGTGTCCCTGCTCTGGTCCCCGGACCTGTGCTCTCGGGCCCGGGGGTGAACAGGACCCTGCAACGCCACCCTGGCCCAGGCCAGCCCTGGGAAGGCGGGACGCGTGTCGGGGCACGGCCTGACCCCGGAAGGAGGGTCCGCAGGCGACAGCGGCGCAGCTGCTCCCGACGCCTGTGCTGCCGGCGGCCCGAGCGAGGTCCGCCTTCCTCTCGGAGGGAGGTCTGCCCCGCACCCCTCGCCCAGCCAGTGCCCGGCGCACTGGGCTCGGGTTCTGCCGCAGCAGGGCTCGCCACGCATCGGGGGCCTGGTGTGGATGTCGGCCCCGGGGACGGGCTGGGGGCTCTGGCGACAGGCAGGCTGCCCGCCTGGCTCTGACTCCCAACCGTGTGGGACCCGGCCTTGCTGGACAAACCACCCACCTGCCCAGAGGCCGCTGGCCCGGGGCCCAGAAGCCCGAGATCTGTGGCGACGGACAGCACGTCCCCTAGGTGCGGGCCCCGGGCCCTGGCCGCCGGGCTGACTGCCGGGGCGGCGGGCCTGACGTCTGTCTGCGGGGGCTGCTTCCACTCGAAGGCACAGCGGTGCTCACACCGGGCGAGACCCGGAACCCACAGGCCCCTCGGGGGCGGGGCTGGCAGAGTGCCGGCCAGGCCCTCAGGCTCCCTGTGGACTGGCCGGTGGGAGCCCGGCCAGGCCCCAGGCAAAGCGACTGTCACTGTGGAGGCAGCGGAGCCCTGCCAGCACCCCCACAGACCGAACCTCGGGGCCCTCGTGTTCTCTGTTCACGGGGGCACCGGGGGCGGGGCAGGCAAGGGTGTGGACCAAAGACGAGGACGTCCACGTTCAAGGGCACCTGGCTCCAGGGACACACCTTCAGCTGTCCCCAGACCCAGTCCCCGCTTTTCCGTCGGCGGGCCTGGGGAGACCGTTCTGAGGGGAGCCGGAGGGCGGCAGCCACAGCTTGGGCCCAACCCACCTGGCCCAGCATTTCCACCTGCAGGACCTTAAGCATCTCCGAGCTGCTCTCCCTGCACGTGGGGCCGCCCCCGCCCCCGCCCCCGGCCCCGCCCCCGGCCAGGTTCTCCTTAGGACGAGAGGCGGGATGCAGGCCATCCCATTAGAGCTTCCACCTGGGGCAGGGCCACGTGATTACCCATGATGCCTTTGCCTCTCGTGGGTACGCCCCTAGTTCCAGGTGTGTTTTCGGGGTACCTGCCGCGTTCCCTGGGGTCCCACGTCGCAGTGCGCTGCCTGCTCTTTCCAGGTGGTTCTCCGGAGTGCTGGGCACGAACCCTGGTGAGCTAGGGGTGGGGTGAGCCAGCCCCGTCGGCTGGGGGAGGTTTCACACCACAGACCGGCTCCGGAGGCCCAGCGGGAAGCGAGCACCGCGCAGAGACCTGGCTGGCCGCACGGCTCCTGGGCCGGGCCCCTCGCCCCTGGGTGGGCCCGGGCGCAGCCACTGCACCTCGGAGCTGCCCACCGACCCGCAGGGCCCACCTCCACAGCCTGGGGCGCTGGGTTCCAGGCGCTCTGTCCCAACGCTGGGGACATCCCCCCAGGGCCCCCACCCCATGGGAGGCGTTCTTAGAGGCCCAGGGAGAGCCAGGAAATAGCTGCTGGCCCCGAAGCTGGGCTTGAACAGGGGGCGCACCCGTGAATGAAGCTCCCGGGGCCGGAGACCCGGCTCCCGTCCTTGTGGGAGAAATAGCCAGCACTCCGCTCCAGCCAGACCGCCGGCCACAGAGGGGCCCGGCTTCCAGACGTCCCGTGGGCTCACCAAGCAGGTTGACCGAGTGCCGCCTGAGCCGCAGCTGTAAGGGGCCCCGGGCCCCCTGGCACCGAGGCGCGAGAGGCCTGCCGACTGGGCAGGCTAGGGCAGCAGGGAGAGGCCTTCACAGAAGCCCGTTAGACCCCAGCCACCACGGGAACCCCGCCCCGAGCTGCAAGGAGACGGTTTCCTGGAGAAGGCAAATTGCTAGGGGGGCGGGGGGTGAGCGCGGCACATGTCCAGCTCAGTGGTGGGGACAAAGGGAACCACCTGGGAAGGGAGGCCGGCGGGCCAGGGGGGTGTGGGGCCTCCGATGCAGGTGAGGCCTGGACGCTCAGCGTGGGGCCGAGGGGGGAGGGTGCCGGGGGTGTCCCCACCGGCCCCGAGGGGCAACCATGAGGGGGCAGAAATGCCCCCAGGAGATGGCAAGGAGCTGGTGGAACTGCGGGTCCCAGAGCCTCGGGAGGAGCTCAGAGGGGAGGCGGTGCCCCTGCTGAGCGGCAGGCGTGGCGCCAGCAGGCAGCCTGGGGCCACGGGCCACTGCTGGTCGGCAGGTGCTGTCCTAAAGGCTTTGGTCGTCTTAGCCTCTGGGGTCTGCGGGGACTGTGTCCTCCCTCCTCTCCTTTCAGTGTCCCTTGAAAGGGCACACAGCACTGTCAGGCCCAGGGCAAACGGAGCAGGTGGCAAACCTGATCCTTGGGCCACAGGTCACTGACCCCTGGTCAGGACGCAGCCTGGGGTCAGGCTGTGTCAGGGGTGAGCCAGGAAAGCGCCTCCACGGATGTCGTGGGCCTGCCTGCCGGCCCCTGTGAGGCGGCGGGTGGCTGTGGTGGGTGCCTGCCTGTCCCCCAACTGGGCACTCCCTTCGTCCCAAAGTCCATCTGGCTGGGGCCTCTAGTTTGGGAGCTCTGTGGGGTTCATCCAGAGGGTTACAAGTAGCTGTCACGGTCCCTGAAACAACTCGGTGACTCACGCCAGCCTCGCAGCTGGGAGTCCGGGCCTCACTGGCCTGAGCTTGGCAGGGGCCACCAGCTCCCAGGGCAGGGCAGGGCTGCCTTGGAAACTCTCAGGCTTGAGGACTGAGTGGCCTGGCAGGGAGGGGAGTGAGCGCTGGACCTGGAGAGGTCCTGGGGGGCCGTTCACACCAGGCTCCGCCTCGCCGGGCTCCTGCGGACCCGGCAGCCCCTGGCGGAAGGGCAGTCGCGGCGTGCATGCGTGCGTGTGGAGGCGCCCTGGGGGCTCGCGCTCTGCGGGCCTGCCCCAGGCCCCTGCGCGGGGAGGGCCCTGGTCAGACTCCGGGGCCTGGGCCCCGACGAGCAACAGGTCCAGCGAGGGCCCGAGGGCAGTCGTAGGGGACGTTTCCGTTTTCAAGCAAATTTAACGTTTTCTGTTTCAACTTGTATTTTAATTTATAAGGATCGCTAATAACTAATCCTTGGTTTCGTTTGGCACAAGCAAATGAGAACACTCTACTCCTGGGGAGAAATGGGGACCTCCGCCGCCGCACGGGCTTGGACCTTGGACGAGGTCCTCGCAGGCCACTGGCGTCCTGTCCCCCACACTGAGCAGGTGGCCTCCAGCCTGGGGTGTTGGGGCCTCGGGCCCTGGCAGCTGTGTTCCGTCACAAGGGAACCACACTTCTGAGCCCTTTAAAAAGAAACAGCCCAAGCACTGGCTCAGCTGACACGGCCGGCAACGACCCCAGGGACAGGAAGGCAGGGACGCCGCAGCCGCAGGGGGTCCCAGGCCTCGCTGGCTGAGGGTCTCCTCCCCGCCTGTCCACATGCACCCCTCCCGCAGGGCACGGTGCACGCATGCAGCAGAGAGGCCCCGCACGCCCCGCGCAGCCGGTCGAGCCCCCGCTTGCATGGGTTTGGAGGTCGAACAGCCAAATGCCGTTGAAATGTGCAAGGCACTTGGTCGCTTTGCTGAGCGCATCCCCCCGACAGGGTTTTAGGGCCCTGGTCACGGACACCTCTGCCAACCACCGTGTTCACGCTGCAGATAAGCCGGACGAGATCGTCCCCGCCGCCAAGCCGTCCCGAGCTGCGGAGAACGTGGCCGTGGAGTCCCGGGTGGCCACCATCAAGCAGCGGCCCACCAGCCGGTGCTTCCCGTCCGTCTCCGACATGAACGTGAGTGGCCATCCCGGGCACCGGGGAGCGGGCAGGCCTCTGGGGAGCTGGCCCCGCAGGCCCCGCTCCCACAGTGGCAGGGCTCGGGGAGCGGGGCACTGGCCATCCCTACAGCTTCCGAGCACACTCCCCACGCCGCCCGGACACAGAGCCCAAACCCGAACCCCGCCAGAGGAGGACACGCGTCTGCGGGCCTCAGGCCTCACACAGCTGTCCTCCGGGGCCAGGAGCGCCAGCCGGTGGTGGGGCCTCAGCCACACACGTAGGGGCACCCAAAGCAGCCTCGAAGCCACGTGCCGGGCACCCACGGCCCAGGGCTCCCATGCCGCCCTCTGGGCCCGGGCGCTGTGGGGGAGGCCGGGCCACGCACACCTCACCAGGGCCCTCTGGTTTGCAGTCTGCGTACGAACGCCAGGGGATCGCCGTGATGACGCCCACTGTCCCCGGGAGCCCAAAAGGCCCGTTTCTGGGCCTCCCTCGAGGTACGATGCGAAGGCAGAAATCAATAGGTAAGCAGCACGGCCGCACCTGCAGAGGCTGCCCTGCACTCCCAGAGCCCCGCAGCCCCCTAGCACCCCCACCCTTGGTCAGACACCCGGTCTTACCCGCTGGACACAGAGCCACAGTGGCTGTCGTGACGCCACCAGGGGACACGTCTCACAGCAGGAGGCAGAGGGTCCGGGTGGGCCGGCGGGTGGGCCCCAGGTCCCTGCATCCCCGCCCCGCCAGCCACGGCCGCACTCTGCAGGGCAAGCTCACGGATACGCGTCTGAGGGTGGCTGCGCCAGGCTCGCGACTTCCAATAAAACTGTCCGCACTGTGTGTTGTAGACGACTCCTTCCCGCTCTTGCTCATGTCACGCTGGCTCCTACCGACTGTGGCAGGCAGGGTGACCGTGACCCTCAGGCAGCCCCTCGGTGAGGCAGCCCAGCACTGTCCCTGCCACGTAAACTCCGAGAGGCCTGGGCCGCTGCCGACGCCAGCTCGCCCTGCCGTGCAGGGAGCCCAGTGCGGGCAGCGCCCGGGCACACGGCTGTGCGTGGGGATGCGCCCAGCCCCCACCCCCGGCAATGCTGGCGGAGACACGGCACCCGCGTCCCTAGACTGAGGCCAGAACCGGCCCCGGCGATCGCAGAGGCGGCGTCTGCGCCCCTGAAGCGCGGTGCCGCGGTGGCGCGGGGTGCCCCGGCTCTGGCTGGCTAATGACAGTTGGTTTCCTCCCGTCAGACAGCAGGCTCTTTCTGTCAGGTTAGTGCACCCTCCGGTCTGGCACTGTCCTTGGAATGTACCCGGTCACCTCCATAAGGTGTGTTCTTAAATCGTTACTCCTTGGGCATGTGACCGGCAGGCCAGCACCGCGCAGCCCACGGTCGGTGACGGCCCTTAGCGGCCCGTCTTTGCGGCGCCGTGCGCCCTCCCCCAAGGAGTGTGGAATTTGGAATGCCCTTATCGAGCGGACACCTCCGCTGGAATAAGCTGCTGTAGTTTGCCATAGGAGCTCTGCTCTTTCTCTCGAAGTGACTCGTGCCGTCCCCTCCTCGGAAGACCCGCATGCCCCCGCCCTGACACGTGTGCCTCTCGTCTGTGTCCGTGTCTGCGTGTGGCTTCCTGCCGCCCGGAGTGCGTTCTGTTGACGTTCTCGTGGCTGGGACAGTGGGACACACCCTTGGAAAGTCTCACCAGGTGACACACACACACACACCACCCCCGTCGGGGCCAGAGAGACAGGTGTCCTGCCACACGCCGGCAGCGCACCCTTGCAGGCCCAGCCCCGGCATGAAACAGACCTCAGGCCCGCCCGCAGGCCCTGCCCCGGCTCGCCGTGGCGGCAGGAACCAGTGTGCCCGCAGTGCGGCCCACAGTGTCTCAGGTGGGCCAGTACCAGGGTTCCTGGGAGGAACCGAGAGCCTGCCCCTGGCTCCAGTCGGGATCTTGAGTTAAAGAGGGTCTGGGCCCCCTCCCCTCACCAAGCCCGGCACCCTCCCGAGGCCCAGGCAGCTCCAGCAGCCGGGACGGACGGCCCGGAACAGTCGGCAGGGCGGGCTCCACGGCAGGCCCCTCCCCACACACCCATGCCCTCACTCAGACAGGCCCCACCACCCTAATGACACCCCCCGGGGCCCGGATCAGCCCTAAAAGGGTGGACGCCCCCGACATGCTCTGAGGATGTCGGGCCAGCGCTCGGCGGCAGCGAGCACACTCGTCAGCAGCACGCACTCAGAGCCTCCCCGCTCTGCCTCCTTCCCTCCTCCCTCCTCTCTCCTCTTCCCGCTCGGGAAGGGCCGCGCACCCCTCCGCGCTGTGCCTCGTGCTGTGCCTCGTGCCGTGCCGTGCCGTGAGCTGTGCGCGCGCCGCGCTGCCGGGGAGCGTGCAGACCCACTGCACGGCCCCGGCGCCGCGGGCTGCCCGCCCTCCGACCGCAGACTGAGCCCGCCCTCTGCTTGCAGGGATAACGGAGGAAGAGCGGCAGTTCCTGGCCCCCCCGACACTGAAGTTCACCAGAAGCCTGTCCATGCCGGACACGTCCGAGGACATCCCCCCCCCACCCCAGTCCGTGCCCCCGTCCCCACCGCCACCCTCCCCCACCACCTACAACTGCCCCAAGTCCCCAACTCCGAGGGTCTACGGGACGATTAAGCCTGCGTTCAACCAGAACTCCGCCGCCAAGGTGTCGCCGGCGGCCCGCTCTGACACGGTGGCCACCATGATGAGGGAGAAGGGGCTGTACTACCGCAGGGAGCTGGACCGCTACTCGCTGGACTCCGACGACGTCTACAGCCGGGCCCCCGCCACCCAGGCCGCCCTCCGCGGCAAGAGGGGCCAGATGCCGGAGAACCCGTACTCGGAGGTGGGCCGGATCGCCAGCAAGGCCGTGTACGTGCCCGCCAAGCCCGCCCGGCGGAAGGGCATGCTGGTGAAGCAGTCCAACGTGGAGGACAGCCCCGAGAAGACGTGCTCCATCCCCATCCCCACCATCATCGTCAAGGAGCCGTCCACCAGCAGCAGTGGGAAGAGCAGCCAGGGCAGCAGCATGGAGATCGACCCTCAGGCCTCCGAGCAGCCGGGCCAGCTGCGGCCGGATGACAGCCTGACTGTCAGCAGCCCCTTCGCCGCCGCCATTGCCGGGGCCGTGCGCGACCGGGAGAAGCGGCTAGAAGCCAGGAGGAACTCGCCGGCCTTCCTCTCCACGGACCTGGGGGACGAGGACGTGGGTCTGGGGCCGCCCGCCCCCCGGGGGCCGCCCCCCGATTTCCCCGAGGAGGGTGACTTTGGGGACGAGGAGGGCGCCGAGCCGCTCCCGCTGCCCACAATGCCGGGGGCGGCGCCCAGGGAGCCTGAGAGCCGTTCTGTGGGTGGTGGCGAGGCTGCAGCTCAGGGTGAGGCCGGCAGGCCGCTGAATTCCGTGTCCAAAGCCAAGGGCCCCGAGAGCAGCCCCGCGGTGCCCCCCAAGAGTGGCGGCGCTGCCGGCCCCGAGAACTACGTCCACCCGCTCACGGGGCGGCTGCTGGACCCCAGCTCCCCGCTGGCGCTGGCGCTTTCCGCCCGGGACCGCGCCCTGAGGGAGTCCCAGCAGGGCCCCAAGGGGGAGGCCCCCAAGGCCGACCTCAACAAACCTCTTTACATCGATACCAAAATGCGGCCCGGCATGGAGGCAGGCTTCCCCACCGTCACCAGGCAGAACACGCGGGGGCCCCTGAGGCGGCAGGAGACGGAGAACAAGTACGAGAGCGACCCGGGCAAGGACCGGAAGGGCGACGACAAGAAGAACATGCTCATCAACATCGTGGACACGTCCCAGCAGAAGTCGGCCGGTCTGCTGATGGTGCACACTGTGGACGCCGCCAAGCCGGGCGACTTCCTGGAGGAAGAGGACGAGACAGCCGACGGGGAAACCGAGCCGGACAGCTCGCCGCCCGAGGTGCCAGAAGGTGTTCCCGAAACCGAAGGTGCTCTACAGATCTCCGCTGGCCCCGAGCCCGCCGCCACCACGCCCGGCAGGACCATGGTGGCGGCGGGCTCCGTGGAGGAGGCGGTGATCTTGCCATTCCGCATCCCTCCCCCACCTCTGGCTTCCGTGGACCTGGACGAGGACTTCGTTTTTGCAGAGCCATTGCCTCCTCCCCTGGAATTCGCAAACAGTTTTGACATCCCCGACGACCGTGCGGCCTCTGTCCCCCCTCTCGCGGACTCGGGGAAGCAGAAGAAAAACGACACCTCCCCGCCCCCGGCGCTGAACCCCAGCCAGCCGACCAACCCCGCAGACAGCAAGAAGCCGGCCAGCCTCTCGAACTGCCTGCCCGCCCCATTCCTGCCGCCCCCCGAGAGCTTCGACACCGTCACGGACTCGGGCATCGAGGAGGCGGACAGCCGCAGCAGCAGCGACCACCACCTCGAGACCACCAGCACCGTCTCCACGGTGTCCAGCATCTCCACCCTGTCCTCCGAGGGGGGCGAAGGCACGGACACCTGCACCGTCTACGCCGACGGGCAGGCGTTCGTGGCCGACAAGCCCCCCGTCCCTCCTAAGCCCAAAGTGAAGCCCGTGGTCCACAAGAGCAACGCGCTTTACCAGGACGCACTGGTGGAAGAGGACGTGGACAGCTTCGTCATCCCCCCGCCCGCGCCCCCGCCCCCGCCCGGCGGCGTCCCGCCCGGGACCCTGAAAGGGATCCAGCCAAGGACCTCCAAGTTGTGGGGTGACGTCCCGGAGGTCAGAAGCCCGATCCTCTCGGGCCCAAAGGCAAACGTGATCAGTGAATTGAACTCAATCCTGCAGCAAATGAACCGAGAGAAATCGGCCAAGCCGGGGGAAGGACTGGACATGCCCGCGGGGACCAAGCCGGCCGGCCTCGCTCCCAGGTAAGTCCCACGGACGACTCAGACACAGCTCTCCACACCAGGCGTTCCTCGGCCTCAGCCTCGTCCCGGCGGCGCGACCAGGAGATGCCCTGGGGAGCAGCCACAGCAGCCGTGAAGAGGGTCCCCCTCGTGCTCCTGAACTCCAGTGCAGCAGAGCACGGACCCCGCCCCCGGCAGGACGGGCTCTCCCGGTGCTGACCCATCACCCGCGGTGGCCGGGCAGAGCCGGCCACCTGGGCGTCCAGAGCGCAGCTCTGCTCTCGTTCCCTGTCCCAGTCTGTGCCAGGACCACCCGAAAGGCCATCTTAGAATCTTGCAGAAGCCAAAGCCTTGCTCCGCCGGGCTAGGGGAGGGGGGGCTATGCCAGGGTTCCAGGGGTGCGGGGAGGCGGCGGGTGTGTGTGAGCACCAGTGCGTGGCTCTCGTCTCTTCTCCTCGCTCAGGGGGTGGGCGGCGCTGGGTGCGGTCTCCCCAGTGAGTTCAGAGGGGCGGGCCTTCCCCACCCCGCCCCCAGCAGGCCGGGTCAGTAGTCCCCTTCTCGTTCGGAGTTTGAGCGAGTGCCCTGGGAACTGGAGGCTGACTGTGAGGGGTCGTTCCCAAACCGAACCGGAAGGCTCCGTGGAGGCGCCGAGCGGTAGAACAGGCCCCTCGACCCTCTGCCCATCACCTCTGGGTCACCGTCACCAGGCCGTGTGCCGCAAGTCCTCCTGGTTCTGCTTTCTGCCCTCCGCTCCCTGGCGGCAGCGTTCTTCCTCTGCTCCCGCCGATGTTCACGCTCGGGTTCCACCGCGGGGACTAGTGAAGTCTGTCTTCACACCCCTGCTGGGCGGGCGGGCGGTCAGAGCCTCACCCAGGGGCCCCGGGCACCCTCTGTGTGGAGGCAGAGCGGTCCCCCAGGCGGGCGGTCCCACCGCCCCTCTGAGGTGCTGCCTGGCCGGCCTCACAGAGAGGCCCTCCCGGCCCACCTTCCACCAGGACACCAGCGACTCCTGAGAGGGAGTCTGTGAGTGCCCGTTTCTGGTGGGCAAGTGGACACGCACACCCGCACCGCCTTGCTGTCTGGCCCGCCCGGCAGCCCGTCTCGGGAGGCGGTGACGCCTCGACATGGAAGTACAACCAGGACGCTCCATCTCGAGTGTCTCCCATTTCACAGATGCTCTCACGGGGTGACCAATCTTGGTGACAGGGGCGGGGGGGCGGTGCAGGGAGCAGGTGTCAGCGACACCCAGCTTCCAGGGGGCGTGCAGCCAGAGGCCCAGGGGCCGCCCACACGCACAGCCCTTGGAGGAGGCAGAGCTGGGGCCGGGCCTGAGGCTTCCTGGCTGGCTCCCCACACACGCAGCTGCATTGGACTAGGGACGATGCCCGGGGGACAGCTCCAGCTCCAGGGTGGGGGCACGCTCCCTGAGCACTCCCAGTGGGCCTGGGCCCCCCGCCCTGTGACTGGTGAATGGCACCCAGGAGTCTCTCCCTCTCCACCCCTCTCCCTAATGGACGAGCCCCAGGGGCTCCCCGCAAGCAGGTCTCGGCCCCCCTGCTCTGCACTCCCCGGTGGGCGGGGGGGTGCCTCAGAGCAGATGTTCCCGGCAGAGTCCCGTCTGATTTCTCGGGAGTAGCCACGGGACCCCCTCCGGCTGCTGCCCGGTGGCCCAGCACCACCGCCGCCCATCTGTCCTGCTATTTCTAACCCGGTTCGCTCACAGCAGAGCCCCAGCTGACTGACTTCCATGGGGCACCCACCGATGCTGGGCCTCGGGCTGCCTGGGTACCACTGGGTAGGGCCCTGAGCTAGGGTGCTCGGCGGGAAGGCACTGCCCATGACCTCCAGCCCTGGACACTGTCTCTGGCCCTTCCCCGGAGCTCCGGCTGGGACCAGCGATAAGCCTGCACGGGCGGCCACCTACCTTATTGCCAGGGGCACGACTGAGGCCCGTGAGGGTGGGGCTGCTCTCCAGCCCCCAGAACTCACCTGCAGCCTGGTCAGCGTCCAGGGTCTTGTCTTTGTTTACCTGGGGGCCGACACCAGGTGCTGAGCACCCAGAGGCTGCATCCCTTTCTGTCCAGCTCTCGGCCAGCGCTCACAGCTGGACTAGGAGAGGGGTTCCCAGCAGCCCAAGAGCAGAGAGGAAGTTCCTTGACTTGAGGCCAAACCGGGCGCCTGGCCGACGGCCACAGCAGACAAAGCCCGGAGTGGCCCTGGGCGGCAGCCGCGGAGCACACTGAGCAGGGAAGGCGGGCAGGGCTGCCGGGCAGGGCTGCCGGGCAGGGAAGGCGGGCAGGGCTGCCGACCGAGGGGCGACATAGCTTGCCCCCTTGCCCGGGCAGACAGGGCGACAGGCTGGGCACTGACCGTCCGGGGAGGGGACCGAGCCCCGAGGAGGCCGGGACGGGAGGGAGGCGCTCCTGTGGAGGGAGGGGGGAGGGAGGTCTTCCCAGGGAAGCAGGCGCTGCCTCTGCTCCGTGAGGCGGCAGACGGGCAGAGGGGCCGCAGCGCCGTCTCGATGGGGGGCTCTGACCGCCCGGCCCAGGGCCCGTCCGCAGAGCTGCTCACCGCCGTGCGCTCCCCGGGCTGCAGAGCCCGCGGCCGACCTGCCTTCCGCAGCTCCTTTCACCCTGGGGATCCATCCTAACGACTCTCGGGAGCCCGTTCCCAGCTGTGGCCGGAACGGGGCAGCGCAGGGAGGAAGGGCGAGGCACGGGGCCCTTGCCGACCTGGGGCCCTGGGACTGAGCTCGACCGCGGGTGGGTTCCGGCTGTGCGGGCGCTGCCCTCGGGGACACTCGGCCACACACGCTGACACGAGGGACAACGACGGAGTCGTTTCCTTCGTGCACTGTTGGGGGCACCCCTCCCAGGGCCTGGTCCGAGCCCCTGCTGAGAGCCTGGAGCTCCAGGCAGTCCCGGGGAGGCCGCGCCGGTGGCCAGGCCTGACTTTCCAGGGAGCGACCTCGCCTCAGAGGGGAGTGTCAGACTGGACACGGGTGAGGGCGGCTGTGGCCCAGGGGGAGCACAAGCCTCCGTGGCCCGAGGGCTGGTTTCCTGCTCAGCAGAACCCCGAGGGGAGCCCCTGGGGGTCCCTGCCCTGTCAGCCGCTGGCCGGAGGCCTTGCACACAGGGCCCGGCGCCCTGCAGACTCCGGCCCTTCGCCCAGGAGCTCAGAGCGGGCGCGCAACCGGGTGTCGGCGGGAGCCCGTCTGAACAGGCACAGGACAGTGCTGCGGGGCGGCAGGGGCGCCCCCGTGGGCCCCGGCCCCGCGCTCTCCGAAGCCCCCCGGGTGGCGATCCGCAGCCTCGGCAGCGTCGGGCACACGTGGCCGTCTCCTGTCTGAGGGCACGTGACATTCCCCCGTAAGTCACAGAGCCGGGAGGCTGAGCGGCCCCTCGGGGCCTGGCCGGCCGGAGGAGCAGAAGCAGGAGGCCTACGGCCGGTGGTCAGACCCCGGGCTGAGCCCCAGGGTTCACTGCTGAACACGAAAGCCTGCGAGGTCCCCCGCCCCCGTGGCTCACTGCACTGCTGAGGGGCACAAGGACGACAAACGACAAGACAAACCCTGCGTGTGCCGGCGCGGCAAAGGAGCAAGGACAGGCGGGGCTCGCCGTGTGCCGAAAGGAGGTGACCGTCCTTCAGTGACACCTGACCAGACCTGGAACCGGGAGGAGCCAGTGGCGCAGAAACCCAGGCGCAGGGACCGAGGGGCACAGGTGCGGGAGCGCCTCCTTGCTGAGGACACTGGCCCGGCAGGTGGCGGGGTCGGTTCCGAGCGCCTGCAGGGCGGGGACGCTGGGCTGTGCTCTGCACGCTGGCCGCTGAGGGCGTCGGCACAGCCTGGCACCGAGATGCCTCAGCCACGTCCGGCCACACGCAAGCGGGCTGCCTCGGAGCCAGGCACGAGACCAGGGCCGCGCTCCGGAGACGCGCCGGGAGCCCCCAGACACGGCGGTCTGCCTGACTCGCCCCGTGACGCACCCGCAGGGGCCTCGACCCAGGACACGAGGTGCCACTGCCAACGCTGGCAGGCGCACGCTGTGTCCGCACGGCGCAGAAGCTGTAAAGCAGCCTCCCGCTCCCTGTCGGGACAGAGCAGGGACAGCGAGCGTGGGGTCCCCCTTGGCTCCTGCCCAGGGGCCCCTCTAGACGACCTAGCCCTTCCTGGTGAGTCCAGAGCTGACTCGGGACTGGCTTTCTCCACGCAGAGGCGCAGGTGGGCGTGGGGGAGGCAGCCTCTCCCTGCCAAAACAAGCCAGTTCGGATATTTGGGAGGCTAAAAGGGCGGTCTCTGCCCCGCTGGCCCCAGAGCGCAGGCCTCAGAAGGGACCGGCGGCCTCCTGGGCTCCGTCACCACGCGTGGGCTCTGGCGTCTGAGGCACCACGGCCACGCGCAGGTCGCGTCGGGAGTCGGGTGAACAGCGGTTGGAGGGGCCGCCGTGCGGTCTGCTCTCGCCGTGTCTGCTCGCAGACGGGTGTCCGGGAGGCGCTTCCAGCCGGCGGAGCCCCTTCACGCCCGCTCATCCGACGGCCAGTGCAACGTCCAGTTCTTGGGCTCTCAATCACAAGTGCGTCGAGGTGGAGGGGCCAGGTCTCCCTGGAAAGCGAGCACCCTCCCAGCCCGCTGGGACCCGGGCACTCTGGCCGTGGCCCCCGGCGGACTCCCAAGTTCCCAATCAGGGAGCTGGGCTGAGCGGAGCCCATCCCCCACAGACCGCCGGGGCCGGGCCCTGGGGGCTGCGAACAGACTGAGCCCCTGGAGGTGCTCAGAGCCCGTGGTGGCTCGGAGGGCTGAGCCACAGACAGAAGCCCAGAGACACGGGGCAGGGGCGGGGGACACACCGCAGTGCCGGCAGGCCCTGGGCGGACGGCTGACGACAGTGCCGCCACCCCCCTACTCCTGTCTGGGAGTGCCCCGCCGCTCGAGACCCTGTGCGGGGAGTAACTCAGCAAGAGAGCAGCTTGGAAGTAGGTCCCTCTTTCGTGCAGGAACGGGAGGGGCTGTCCAGGGAGCCCCGCACTCACTGAGGTGCAGGGTGGGACAGGGGCAGGTGGGGGAGAGCCTTGTGCCGACGGGCCCACGGCCAGCCCAGCTCCACGGGGGACAGCAAGTGACGCGCCGTAGTGACCACACAGTCACTGGTCAAGGCCAAATGAGTCTGTAGATGCAACAGGGAGGCCACTTGAATACCCCCCCGCCCGGCTCCTGCACACTGACGGGCAGACAAGGCATCTGTGTGCCAAGGAGCCTTTTTCTGGTTCTCGCCCTCACGTTTCCACACAAGCTGGGTGTGAAAGGCAGGACAGACCGTGCCAATCAAGAGAGGGGTGTGCGTGAGCGTGTGTGCGTCTGTTTGAAATCAGGGCAGCAGTTCCTGCGTTTGCCACCCAGGAACCCGGGGGTTGCTTAGCAACCTGGCGGTCTCAGCAGCCAGCGGGCGCAGTGGAGAGCGTCCGTGCGGTGAACCGGAGTGAGTGGAGCAGCAGAGAGGGCAGGGCCGCCTGGCCCTGGGGCAGGACCCGCTCCGCGCCGCTGACTCACGACTGTCTCCCCCGGCGACACTCCCCTGCCCCGAGCGTGCGGCCAGACCAGGCGGCACCTAGTATCAGCTGCCAGGCTCTCGTCTCGAGGTGCAGATGGCAAACAAGCACCCTCACTGGTGGGGCCCTCGCCCCTAAGATGGAACGCACCCTTCCCACGCTGCAGACGGCCAGGCTGGCTTGGCCCCTGGTGGGGCTCAAGCTGCACCCCGGGCCGGGGACCCTCCAGCAGCTCTCTCCCGGGTGTGGCTGCCCCGTCTCAAGCGACCCCACACTGGAGAAGGCGGGGCCGTCAGCTCCCCGCTGTCAGCAGGACCGATGCCCACACGGGTCCCCGCCTGGGCCGTGCGGGCACTGCCCACCCTGCCGCCCCCCTGGGCCGGGAAGGGGCCGGCGGGCAGCTCCTCGGCCAGTGTCTGCACGACCACTTGGGTCTCGCCCACCGAAACCAGCGTCCTTCTAAACTGTACTTAATTTTGCAGTGCTGTCTCAAGCCCTCCCACTCTGTCATTTTCATTTGCTCCCGTGACGCGCGCGCACAGAAGAGGGTCGTGCTGAACGGAAGTAAGTGGCGCCTGCAGGCGCGAGCTGCCTCTGCTGTGTGCTGACTCTCTCCTCGAGCCCCCACGTCTCCGGGGGCCCCTCTCTGCTGCTGCAGACGCCCGCCCCCAGGCACGGGCAGGCAGGGCCCCAGCGAGGGCTCAGAGCTGTTCGCTGCCGCACGCTGCCCGTGCTGAGGGACCACTGTGCGGGGGCACCGTCAGGGAAAAGCCACCCGAGGGTCCCTCCAGGCGCTGCTCGCCCGGGCAGACGCGCTCCTATACGGCGTCTGCCCGCTGCCCGAACCCTCTCCTCCCCGCCAGGCCGGGCCCTGGCAAACGGCTGGAACCGCCTCCGGACGGAGCGGCTTTCCCGCCGCGGGACCCCCTCGCCTGCCCGGGCTCCCCTGGGTCAGAGTGCCGCAGGAGCCCCCAGACACCACCCCCTGCGCAGAGGCAGCGGGGGTCTTCCCAGCTCCCCCGCCGGCCCTCCCCAAGCACCTGAGAGGCGGGTCCCTTGTGCTCGCTGTGTCCACAGCCCACCCCTCACCAGCACTTGGGCCTCAATCCGGGGGGCAGGGAGGGCCCCTGGCTTTGGGCTCAGAGGGCCTGGGCCCGGCAGAGCGGAGCCTCATCCCCGGAGCCCTGCCGGGCTGTCTCTGTGCCTCCCCTGCCAGCGCGCCCCTGCCACAGCCCAGAGCCCAGCCAGAGCCCCGCCGGCCAGGACTGTCACTGCGACAGGTGTCCGCCTGGCCACCCGGCCCAGGTAGCCACCTGCTGCGGAGGCACTTCGCCTCGGGACCAGGCCGGAGCCCGAGTCCTGGCACAGGCCCCTCCTCCGCCCCGCTGCTGCTCCCACACCCAGAACACGCTGCTTGACGTGACAGGGGCTGCTGTCGCGTGGGGAGCTGTCGCGAGGCACAGAGGCACCGGGGTTTACTGCCGGGCGACGTGCAGCCCAGCAGCAGTCGGGGTCCCAGAACCCGACAGCAGACCCGGCAGACCCGGCAGACCCGAGCACAGGCGGACCAGGCCCAGCTCCAGCCCCGGCCACCAGCTCCCACGGCCCCTCCTCCCGTCCCCAGCCCCGTCCCGCAGACGCCGTAGCCCCCGCATGCCCCTCCGGCTGGAGCAGCCTGGTGCAGCCCGCCGTGCCCTCCCCAGCACCCACCCACCATCCCCCCTCTCGGGAGGGGGAGGGGCCCGCGGTGTCCACAGGGACACAAGACTCCGGGCTGCAGCACGCCCGTGCGGAGCGTGGCGGAGCCGGCACTGGGACGTGCACCTGCAGCCCAGCTCCTGGGCGGGGGCCCAGAGAGGGCGGCTCCTTCCAGACGGGGGCAGGCAGCCAGTCCACGTCCGCGCGGATGAGCCCCAGAGGCACGGGACACGCCCGGTCCCACCACCTCTGTTTGCAGAGGCCGTGGTCTGGGGCAGCAGCGCCTTCCGCCTGGGGGCAGACGGGCGTGAGCCAGGGCCCTGGGGGCGCGGCTGGAGCCTGGGGGGGCTGTATGTGACAGGGCCACCTCCACAGAGGTGGGCACGCAGCCAGGTCCGTCCCTGGTGTGACCAACCACCCCCTTAGAGGCCAGCCAGCCGTGTCACTGACGCCAGGAAGGGACGAGCCCCCGAGAGCGAGTCTGGCCCCCTCTGACCCCAGAGCAGGAAGGACACAGGCACCCCTTCCGTGTTCCGGAGGAGGGGGTGTCCGGCCGGCGAGCCTCCCTCGCTGCCTTCAGGCGGGGTTCGCGCACGAGCGTGCCCGCTGCCCCCCGCAGCGAAGCCGCACAGCCCGCACCGGGCAGCGCCTCCGCAGGCCGGCCCCCCGAGTGCCGGGCCGGCACAGACTGACCTCGACAGACCGCCCCTGCCCTCTGGTTCTGCGGGCATTTTCAAACCCTGAGTGTCCCCCAGCCCCGGGGGCGGTGGGGGCGGCTGCCTGTGTGTGTTGCTGTGTCCCCACTCCGCCTCCTGCTCCCGCCTCCCGCCCAGGCCTGGCATGGCCGATGGCGTGCTCACTGCCAGTGCGGCTCCTGGGAGACGCTCTCGTGTGATCTGGGTGTCTGCCGCCCCCCTCGGCCGCCTGCATCCTGCCGACCTGCTCCGTGACCTGGCTGGTGATGGTTTCTCTCTTGTTGCTGTTCCAGGAGCCCGGAGGCCTTGAGCGCCATCTCAGGTGCACGGAGCACGACCGTCACCTTCACTGTCCGCCCTGGGACCTCTCAGCCCATCACCCTGCAGAGCCGGCCCCCAGACTACGAAAGCAGGACCTCAGGGACCAGACGGGCCCCGAGCCCCGTGGTCTCGCCTACAGAGGCGAACAAGGAGATTCTCCCCGCCCCCCTCTCCGCGGCCGCCGCGGCCCCGTCCCCCACTCTGCCCGAGGTCTTCGGCCTTCCAAGCCAGCCCCCGTCCGGGGACCTGTTTGGCTTGAACCCAGCGGGACGCAGCAGGTCCCCTTCTCCCTCAATCCTGCAACAGCCCATCTCAAATAAGCCTTTTACAACTAAGCCCGTCCACCTGTGGACTAAGCCAGACGTGGCGGACTGGCTGGAAAGCCTGAACTTGGGGGAGCACAAAGAGACCTTCATGGACAACGAGATTGACGGCAGCCACCTGCCGAACCTCCAGAAGGAAGACCTGATAGACCTCGGGGTGACCCGGGTGGGACACAGGATGAACATAGAAAGGGCTCTGAGGCAGCTGCTGGACAGATAAGGACGGCTGCCCTCGGCCTCCGCGGACTTCGTGTTCTAAGTAGAGATGGGCTGACACTCAGACGTTTGCATGGCCGAGCGCGGTCTGTGAGCACCGACCCCATGTCGTGGGTTCGTCCCAGTACCCAAAGAAACGCGGAGTGTGTCTACGGCGTGGCTGAGCAGAGGCCTTGGAAGTCCCCAGCTCTCTACGTGGGTTCCTTGGGCTGTTTCTGTCCAACGAGGGACGAGGGGAGGGAGTTTTTCTAACCCAGAAGGGATTCACAGCTTGCCTCCCAGCATGCGGGTGACCTCACTTGGCCAGGTCCCAGAGACGCCCGTCGCTGAGCTCGGGGCCCGGCTCCCGCGGGCAGACACCAATGTACTCCAGATACCTCCTGAGGCCTCCCCCCCGCCCCGGGCAGCTGGCCCCGGCCCCGCGGCAGGCCCCCATGCTCACCGGCTCCTTTCCTCCCTGCACTCGCCCGCAGGGGGCGCCCCGGGCGCGTCTGTCCGGGGCCCCTTCTCGGGCCCGAAGGTAAAGAACCTTTGTGCTCGTAGACCCCTCACGCCCACTCCTGCAAGGCAGCTCCTCGGCCTCGAGGGTCCTGGCAGTGGGGGTGGCGTGGGGGCGTGCCCGGCTTTGCTCAGCTTTCTTTATTCCTGCAAGTCGGTCAGCACCTTTCCAGAGTGGCCGCACCGGCGTCCCGTGGGGTCGGTCAAAGCACAGTTGTGATTCCCAGGGCGTGGGACACCCGGCCACGGGAGGCGGCATGTGCCCCTGCCGGGGTCCGGAGTCCCCGCACTGATGACAGCCATCGTCTGCCGGGAGCATCGCCCCCGGCCTGGGAGAAGGGGTCCCCTGCCTTTCAGAGTCTGTTTCCAATGGAAAGCACGTTGCGTCCTGCCACGAGCAGAGCAGGTGAGCGTCCACTCTGGCGCAGGGTGAACGCTGGCCAGGTGCTGCCGCCAGGGCGGCTGGGTCCCAGCGCTGAGCCCGGCTGGGGGAAACCAGCGTCTCCACCAAGGCAGCCCTTCGCTCTCTGCAGCCGAGGGGAGGGGGGACTCCAGGCCTCTCCCTCTCTCTCCGAGTGTCCAGGGGCCTGCCCGCTCGTCTTAATAATAGTGCAACAAGCTGTTTGAGAGCCCAGAGGGACGGCGGGGTCGGGGTCAGGGACAGGTGGCCGCAGGCGAGGGTGCACAGCAGCTACGTGGAGAGGACGGGGAGGCCCGCCTGGCCCGCCTCCCTAGCCGGGCGCCTTGAGCCGCCGCCCCTGCGACAATACCTCTGATTTCCAAGGGAGGTCGCCACTTGCCCACGGGCCGAAAAACGTCCAGCCAGGCTTCCAGCACATTCTCCCGCGGTTGGAAGAAGCGCGAACGTCAGGTTTGGGGCTTTCATTATGATTTCAGAACTAGCCTCGCCCATCTCTAATTATAAGAACATGACTTTTTTTCCTTTTTTTCCTTTGTGCTCACAATCAAGCGTCTGACTAGGTCTGGAACAGCTCTAGAATGAACACGTAAATTTTAGCAATTTAAAATCTCTTTCTTTACTGCAAGTTTAACTAGTTGTACAGATAGTTTATAAGCACAACACTTTAGGAAAACAAGCGGCTGGTCCACGGCGGCCCCCGTGCTGCTCCAGTGCTAGGGAGTGGGGAACAGCGGCCTTCGTGGGGTGACGACACCTCTCCTGTGGGGTGGTCACAAAGGATGACCTTTCCAACCAACCTTACTTGGACGCCTCTGAACCAGCAGAGCTGTGTCACATTTTCTATCTTTGCTAGAACTCTGTCACTGAAAGGCAGCCACTCCTTTGGAAGTGGCTACAATTCGCAATGCACCAGTCTCTCAGCACACATGCACACGCACACACACACACCCCCCCCCGAGTTTTGCAGCCACGTGCCCCTGAGCTGGAACCCGAGCTGCACACCATCCCCTGCTCCCAAACCCTCTGCAGGTCTGTGTTTGTATCGGAGGGATCCGGTCCCTCCTGGAGCCCAATGGACAGTAAGGCACTCACTTCTGCGCCCTTCCCAGTTTCCCACCCAGAGAAATGTCAAGCCAAGACACACGGGGCGGCCTGCAGAGGCTGCCCGCCAGCCCAGAGAACATGCAGCCGGTGGCCTGGCCGTGCTCTCCCACACGGTAGCACTGAGGATCCCGCCAGCTCCCGCGCCACGGCAGCCCTCCTCTCCTCCCCCCACTGTCGGGGCCACCTCTGTGCTCAGTGCGACAGGCGAAAGGCAGTGGGACTGGAGGGAAGGGAAGGGAAGCACGGGCAGGGGGCGGGGAGCGGCCGGTCGGGAGAGCGGCTGCCCCCCCTTGCTAAAGGCACTGAAGCCGCGCGCAGCCGGCGGCAGCGGCACACGGAAGGAAAAAGCGCCGAGGAAGCCGCTCGCACGCACGCACGCACGCATGTGTCCCACTAGAGCAGAGGGGCAGGGCCCGCCGGAGCCCGCGCTCACTGACAAAAGACACACTCATTGCCAAAACGAGCCCGTCTCCCGCTCCGCCCGGTGACCCAGCTACAGAAAGCAATAGCTCCCCGTTCAGATGGCCGCCCCCCGCCCCCCCCGGGGACACACTAGGACCAGGCCCTGCTCCCCCGCCCCCCCCAACGGTGGCTGGGACGTCAGGTCAGATGGCTCACCCAAGGGTCATGTTAATACTACTCCAGGTTTTAAGATCAACTTTTGTTATAGACTGTAATTTGCACACACTGCTTTCACACGCCTAGTTTCTTCTGTAACATTGTGTACACGGAACCCGACGCTCCCGAGGTGTAAATCGCACACGCCCGCTGGGACGCCGGCCCGGGGTCTGCGCACTTCCGGCTGGGTCCCGGTGTAAAGACGGCTCGGTGTGACTGCTGGTTTGCCGGACCTTGCATATCACAAAGTGAATTACTTGTGGTGTTTAGTTAATAAAACGGTGATTTTTTTCTGAGTTACTGAGCAAGCATTACCCAGATGATCTGGCAATGACTTTTTTTGTGTGTGTGGGCCACAAATATTGATTTTTTTTTCCATTAACCAATTTTTTCTGTTTTTTAGAAACTGATCTGTTTCACACTATCGTTTGTGTGATGTGTTCGCATTATCTGTCACTGTTACTTTGTGCTTTTATTCTTTTTAGAGTTTATTAAAAACAAAAAAAACAAGCTCCTGTAATTTGCACTTTCTCCCAATCCTTAAATCTCTTGTACGGCAACCAAATTACTGTAAAGAAATAAACATACTATTGCACTACGGTCGTGGTTCTGATTGCAAACAGTCACAGCCGTCTGAACTGAACACAGAGCTGCCAAACTCGAGACCTCCCGCAGGTCACTGAACGCCGCAGCCGCTTCACCTCCACGAAGCCGACCGCAGCGAACCCCTCCCTGTGCTGAGCCCGCCCGCCTCGGCCCCTGCTCCTCGGAGGGCTCCCAGTGTGCGCGCTGGGCTGCGGCTGTCGGGTCCGACTGGGCGAGGGGTGCTGCAGACACCCGTGGGCGCAGCGGTTCCGGGGCTGCCGAGGCTGCTGCCCTTTGTTTTGGACGGAAGCGGGGGTGTCAGGGAGACCCGGACCCCTTCCTGGAGTACAGGTCACCCCCACGCCTGCAGCCTGTCTTCCTGCTGTCGGGCCATGGACGCTGCGGAACAGGGCAGCCTCTCTGGTCGACGGGAGCCGGGGAAGACTGGGTACCAAGCACGGCTGAGGCTCGGGCCCAAGAACTGAGCCAGGAAGACACAGGCCGCCCCTCCCGCGGCCGGGAAGAGTGACTTAGCAGTGAGCCTCTCCTCGGCCTCGCCAGTGACAGCTTGTCCTTGGCTCCCGCACGGCTGCTTCCACTCGGCACGTTCTCCTCGTGCACGGCAGCCGCTCACCACCTGTCTGCGCTCAGGCGGCGTCCTGCTCCCACCCACGGGGGCTCCCTCCCAGTGCGCCTGCCTCGCTGGTTCCCCGGATGTTGACCACCCGCCCCCACAACTTCACCATGGTTTTCTGCAGACCCCTCCTAGATAAATGTACCAGTTTGTCTCGTTAGGAAAAAGAATCATTGGAAGACTTTTTCTTTTAGCCGTGCTTTGATGCAGTTTAATAACCAGTGAACAGGAGCGTCTGTCCGTGTGCAGACCTCCACACGCACACGCGAGCAGGGGACAGTCCCACGGGGGCCGGGGCCATGGCCGCTGCACGCACACAGGACCGCCCGTGCTTTGTGGGAGCTGGGGAACATCCACGCCGGCTTCTCGGACTTCAGCAGATGTGGCCACTTCGAGTTTCAATCCCCGCTGTATCAGCGATTTCGTTTCCTTCTCCTCCTGTCACACGATCCTACTCCCACAGTCTCCACCGTTCTGTGTTTAAAATCACAGCAGTCACCGTTCACTGCTTCTACTCTGGAACTCTTTGTCTATAGCAATTCTGAAACTTTCCTATGAGCCTTCGAATAAACACAGAAACAAAAAAAAGGAAAAAAATAAAGTGTGTGCCTTGGGTGTCTCGAACCTGATCTGCATAAAACCATGTTGTATTCACATGCTGTATGTCTAACGGAAGGGTAAACGTACCCCGATGTACCGGTGTCGCTGGGACGATGGTTACAGTGCCTTGTTTTCCGAACTGAGAGCCCATATCAATGCACGACGTCACGGCAAAGCCGACTCCAGAAATGAAACGTTGAGAAGGCCCGGACGAGACTCCGGAGCCTTTCTCGTCACGAGACTGTGAGATGCGCACAGTCATTTCAGTCGAACAATAAAAAGAACGTTGAAATAAGACTGTGTTATCAGTTAATTTTCCATTGAAAGTGCTCTCTGCTCTATCACTTTCAGCATTTTCATTTAGTTAGAATACAAGACACGTCTGAGGATTTCCAGGGAGAAAGAGCAAGGTCATCTGGTCCCGCGTCCAGGGCGCTCGGACCTGCCTCCCTGGTGCTGTGTCGCCCCCCAGTGGTCCTTGTTGGTAATGCTGATGGAAGTTGGCAGTGTTGACCCTTTCCACACTTGGTTAAAATTAAAATATGTGTTTCCAGTGAGGTCACTCCTATTTCCATCATCATAAGCTGAACAAGCAGCAACACACTGCCTGTTTTCCTCTGAGGACAAGTCCGTGCGAGACGTCCAACAGTCCCGTTCTCACCCCCAGGATGCGGGGTCTCGGTTCTGAGAGCGAGGTGCTGGCTTCCCCGAGCAGCTGCTGGCGGCTGAGGCACGCCGGAGGAGTGCAGCGGGCGTGTCAGGAACCGCGGCTCGCCTGGGGGCCTAGGACGGCACCCCGGGCGGCAGTGACAGCCCTTCCTCTTGTTAAGCGGGCACTGGCGCCCCAGAGGCAGGGCGGGCCCCACAGCCACCCTGCGGGCATGTCTCCAGGCTCCTCTGCCACACCCGTCCGAAGGGAGCGAGCCGCAGCCCCGTGCCAGACGGCCTCCCAGGGCTCACCGGGCACCCTCTGAGGCCCGTGCGGAGGCCGCTGGGTACCAGGCCCTTTCCGTTCCGGCCAGTAAGTGTTGCTAACAACCCGAGAGGCTGCAGCAGACGGTCTGGGAGAGACGCTGGGGTCTCTTAGGGGGCCGCAATCCACATGCCGCCGCCTCCTCTGTTGGCAGTGTGTGCACCCCAGAGGCAGGGGCACGGGCCACAGCCCCTGGGCGAGACAGGCAGGCTGCCCAGCTCTGGACCCTGGGAGACGCAGACCAGGGGCCGGGCCAGCCGGACTGCAGGCCAGCCAGATCAGCAGGTGCGGGTGTGGCCATGGCACTCCCTCCCCTGCCGCTGGCGGCCCACACACCTGTGCCGGTGCCCCAGAGGACACGCCTCCTGCCACCGGCCGCTCCTCATCATCCCTGCCGAGGGACTTAGACATGCCCTCCAAACCCCAGCCCCAGGGCGCTGGGGAACAGCCCCAGGCTCCGGGAAGCGGCCGCAGCACAGGCCAGGCAGCCTGTCGTCCGGGCGCAGGGCCCCAGGAAAGTGTGGCAGCGGCCCCCAGTAAGCCTGTGGGGTGCCCTCGGGCCGGGCGCCAGTCAGAGCACACCACCGCGAGTGCCGGACAGCCCTTGAGGCCCCCACTCGACAGAGGAGAAAACCAGGTCTTGCAGAGGCCCACAGTGAGTGCGGGACCGGGATCTGCCGTGGAACTCCCAGGCCCGAGTCTGGTTGTGGCCAAGAACCCCCATGAGGCGCCCGTATGACAAGGACGCGTCCCTCTCTGCTCCGCTCCAGACACGTGGGCGCAGCACAGTGCAGGGTCCAGGACTGGGCACGGCAGGGCCTGCTCCCAGCGGCCCAGCTCAGGGGGTGGGAGAGGGTCGGCATCATGGCCTTACTTCCCCGGACCAGGGGCCCCAGGCGGTCGTCACAGAGCAGAGACTTACTGTTGTTACATGCTCCGTGGCTCAGAGACGTGGGGCCTGTACTTAATTCTCACAAGAACCCCGTGAGCTTAAGTGTCAGAGCTGAGTCCCCCCTTTGCTGATGAGGAAACAGGCTCAGAGAAGGCAGATGTGACTCCCTCGCCCTGGGCCAGGTCACCCTGCAGACCAAGGTGGCCTCGGCGACAGAGCAGAGTGGCGCTGGCCTGCCCCTCCCAGGCCATGCAGTGCCGCTCCCTCCCACAACTCTGAGCTGCCCGGAGCGCCCCCCCACCAACACACACACAGCTGGTCCCTCCGGCCTCTGGAGCCTGAGCCCGTGGCTGTTGTGACCGCAGCTCCGACCCCGACACCAGCAGGTTCTCCCCCACACCCTACGGCCCCTCCACAGCCAGAGTCGGGCAGCCCCTTCCTCTCCCTTCTCTGGCTCCCTCGGTGGCCAAGCACAGAGGCCAGCGAGCCAACCGTGAGGCAGGGAGCCGCACGGCCGGGAGCGAGTGCGAAGGTGAGTGGAACAGCCCACGCAGCGCCAAGGGCAGGCACAGCGGCAGCTTCCTTCCTTGGCCTTGCAGCCTGCCATCTGGGCGAACTAAAAATAAGAGCTCCCTTCCCGAGCAGGGGTTTATAAATGGGACTACAAAGGCCGACAGACAGGCCCGGGGAGCGGCACGTGGCCCCAGCCTTTCCGCAGGCCTGCCAGCCCCCGCAGGCCTGCCAGGAGCCCAGCCCCCCCCCCGCCCCCTTTCGGGCAGGCGGGGTGGTGGGGGGGGGCTCGGTGGAGGGGGTGGTGTTTCTTTAGGGAGGGCGGGGGAGTCCAGAGAGAGAGACAGCGGGATCCTGCCTGAGCCCAGACCACCGCGTCTTCACAGCAGCGACAGAGAAACGGCCGCGCTGACCGGCCTGCCACCGTCCCCGGCCCAGCGTGCCCGGAGCACTCCGACCCTCGCCCACCTGTCCACGCTTTTCCTCTGCTCGCCTCGCTCCAGCCACGTTCCCACCTCAGGGCCGCCCCTAGCCTGCTCCTCCTGCGACCCGCAATGTTCTTCCCCTGCGTCTGCCAGGCTTCCCGAGCCACTGGATCTACAGCGGAACTCACCCCAATCCCTCGCTCCCACCTCCCCACTTATTTCGTGTGTGGCACTCGTTAGCACTTCAGACTGGCCCACTGACGGGCTTACTGAGTGTCCCGGCACCTCAGGGAGAGGAACTGCAGGGGCGCAACAGGGATGCGCACCCCATGCACTGCCATTCCCCTAGCAGGGGCTCCGCCCACACAGGAGGCCCTCGGGGAGACTCTAACCGCCTGCAACCAAGGCCACGCCCCATGGTCGCCACGCCCCATGGTCGCCACGCCCCATGGTCGCCACGCCCCATGGTCGCCACGCCCCATGGTCGCCACGCCCCATGGTCGCCACGCCCCATGGTCGCCACGCCCCATGGTCGCCACGCCCCATGGTCGCCACGCCCCATGGTCGCCACGCCCCATGGTCGCCACGCCCCATGGTCGCCACGCCCCATGGTCGCCACGCCCCATGGTCGCCACGCCCCATGGTCGCCACGCCCCATGGTCGCCACGCCCCATGGTCGCCACGCCCCACCGCGGCCACGCCCCCTTCTGCAGCAGCCACCTGGTCCTCAGAGATTTAACAACGCAGACGCAGACGGACTGCCCAGCGCCTCCCGGGCTCTTCCCAGGCACTGCGTGCCCCCTGCGCTGACCCTCCTTGTCCCCGGTCCCCCCCCCCCCCGTTTATCTGCGGGCCCTGCCCCATCATGACACCAGGCACCCCTCCACCTAGAGCTGCACACCTCCCGGGTCCTGCCCCAGCAGACGCTACTGGGGCAGAAACCAGGCCACTCCCGGGTGCGGCCGCTCCCTAGCAGGGAG